GAATAGATATGTCAGGGAACTCATCAAACGATCATCTGTAAGAACACTCAAGGATGGCACAGAGGTGTTGGTATTTAGAAGTGAACAAGGTATTGACAAAAGTGGGACACAAATAATGAAACGTGGTAAAACCAAGACTCTCGTGTACTCAAAGGACTCACCTGCTCTGAGAGAATATAAGGACCTTCTAAAGAAAATCAAGCAGACCCCTACGAATCCCGACAATATAATTGCAAGTGATGAATCAATTTACGAGGATACTAAAGAAGAGCCCCAATTTGATACCAGTGATGAGGAATTTGCTGACCGTAAGAATATTGAGTTAATAGATATAAGTGCAAAACTAGGAGACCTTCCAGGGCTAACAATGAAAGAAAACAATGAACTGAGAGGTGTTCTTAACCCACCTGATGGATCAAGTATAGAAGGCAGAACAGGTCCCAATGGAGCGTTACAAATTCAGGCTGACTACTTTAATGAAGCTATTGGTGAAACCGTGGAACGCGCCACATCTGTGGAAGGTACAACTGAGTATAATTTCCTCCTGGAAAGAATTGATAGTCTAAAGGAAGCTAGGGATAGGACACTAAAGCAGAGAACAGTAGAGAAAGCAAGAGAGGCACAGTTGGAAGACATTTCTAGATTACGCAGATTTATAGACTGGGTAGGAAAGGAAAAAGTGGGACTTGTAGGGATAGCAGTGTCAACGGCTAGTTTAATTACAGCCTTATTAATCCATGCTAGGGGAGCCATTGTGAAGACAGCAAAGGCCACTGGTAAAGTAGCAAAAGCATTAGCAAATTTAGCAAAGAAAGCAGGGCCAATTCTAGTTCCAATTCTGAACGCAGTTGCTACGGCGCTATCATGGGGTGCCAAAGGAGTTGCATGGTTAGCGTCACACTTATGGGTATTAGCTATAGCTGCAGCCTTAATGGTATACAACTATTACAGCAAGTAAATTATGAGAGATGGCTGAAAGCGTAGAATACAAGGCAGCATGGATGGATAGGGTAAGTACTATTCTTGACGAATACAATAATGAATACTCTGAGATCTGGGAAGGAGACCTAGGAACTGAGGACCTAGATGAGCTGAATATATCATACCCTGGCTATAGGGAAATGAAACCTGAAGATATGGACTCTGAAATAGACATTCTCCGAAGGAAGATAACGGGCTCTGAGCAACCCGAAGAAAAAGAGGATATTAAAAGAGAAATTGAGTACGTAAGTCAGCTAAGAAGAATGAAGACCCGGAAGAATTCAGAAACCGAGGCCTATCTAAACGCGACCCATGGCACTCTCAAGGAAGAGGTAAAAACATTAGTTGTACTCAGAAGAATAGCTAAGGCTGAAGTTAGAAGGAATGACTACTCGGAAAAAATAGATAAGCTAAAGGGTATTATAGAAAAACTAGGTTTTGATCCCAATAAGCCCGAGGAAGAGTTGGAAGTAGAGGAAGAAGAACGTAGGCAAGAAGAAGCTAGAAAGAAGGAGGTAGATGAACGCAGGAAGGCTGTTGAGTTAGAACGTATGAGGCTTGCAGAAGAAGCTGCCGAACGTCAGAGAAAAGCTGAGTTTGAGCGTAAAGAAGCTGAGATTAAAAGACACCAGGAATCTATAAAAGGTGATAAGGAGAAAACAGAGTACTGGGAAAAAAAGCTTGAAGAATGGGAGAAAGAAATGTCCAAACCTAAGGAAGAACCTAAGAAGCCTCAACCTAAGGAAGAACCTAAGGAACCCAAGACAGAAAAGTCCTACAGAGGCAAAGAACCCAGGAAGCCTGATAGAGGTAAGAAGACTGAGGAGCCTCTACCTGGGGTAGACACTGAATGGCTAAAGGATACTTTCAACTTTGAGAACCTCCTATTCCAGGTCGCAGAGGATACTATCCCAGAAGATGATCAACCTATATTTAGCGGTGATAGTACAGAAATCATGTTGAAGGATGTTAGGGAAGATCTTACGAGGTATGAAAGATTCAAGTCATGGGTTGAAGATAACTTCGGAATTGCGCTTGCAGGTGTTATGGTATCAGTTGCTGCTCTTCTTACAGCTATTATCATACAGACTAGAAAACTATCCTCAATGGCAGCAGATTCCACGCACGGAGGCGGAGGTCCTTCTCCGTCACCATTTCCACTTCCTGATATAGTAAGAAAACTAATTAAATTCATATCATCAAACTTATGGGTGGTAGCTGTAAGTATCGGAATAATTTTACTTTACATGAACAGCTAAACATTACATATTGTATACAAGTATGAATACCACAGAAAGAGAACTCCAACCTGGCTTCAGGAGGAGCCGTATGACATCCGTAAAAGGTCCCAGAACTAGAAGTGTTGTAACTTTTAATCCAACAACCATTAGCCCAGGTGAAGAGCTGTACATTAACATCCCCAAACTAAAGCCTGACTCTTGTTTAGTCCCCGGATCGCTTGCACTATTATTTGACTTCAAAAATTCCAATACAAAAAGGCGCTTTAATAACAACCTGTCTAAGTTGATAGCAAAACGTCTTCAGATTAAAGTAGCAGGTGAAACAGCCTATGACTGTTCAGGAGAGAGTTTGTACGAAATATACAAAGATCTATGGCTAACTGTTGGCGACAGAAATAAGATGACAGAACAGGGTCTTGCAAGTGAGAATCTTAGGAAGCTGATATCAGGTGACGACTCAGGAGCAAAAGTTGGTGATGCCAATAAAGTAGCAGATGCACTTCTCCACAGTGTGTACGGTTCTAAGCTGAGAAAACCAATTGATAAAATAATTGCAGACCATGGACTCTACACACCGTTCTCCATGAATAACAATCCTATGTACATCCTCACACTCCCGCAATCAGATGAGATTATGACTGCTCAAGGAGGTGAAGCTAAGGGTAATTATAAACTTGATAATCTTGAGTTAGAATACGAGACCAATGAGAATGACACCCTTGCGAGTGAAGTATCAAGGATGTATTCAACGGGTCGCTCGCTGTCCTACAAACACGTTACACTAATGCGTACAAGTAATTGGGACAAAGATCTTACCATTGTTAATGAGAATATCAATATCCCCAGAAAGAGCATGTCAGCGATTGTCCTTCTATTTACCAATAGAGTGAGAACTGATTCTGAAGAATATATTTACCCAAACATTGATAAAGTGAACCTTACCATTGAGGGTGTGCCTAATGCAGTCTTCTCCCAAGGACTTCCTAAAAATAGGTTCTTCGAAGAGGCAAAAAGATTCTTCTGCCCTATGTGTGAGAAATCCATGGCAGACGAATTTATGTCCATCAGCAAGTTCTTCAGCAATGGTTTTGCTCTAGTAATCGATCTTAGGTCAACACAAGATGATACCACTGGTGGAGGTAAGAAGATTGTTAACACACAGTCGGGAGTACTCCTGGAAATCAAAAAGAGAGCCACAACAGCTGACGTTCAGTGCAACATTTTTATTGTATCACATGCTCTCCTTAACTTTGCCAATAGAGATCTATCAAGTATTCAATACTAATGGTAAAGCATAGAGATGCAACAACTTAAGCCTCCATTTAACATGCTCATAGTGGGAATGACTGGAAGTAGCAAAACTCAGTTCCTACTTAATATGTTAGAAACAGAGTGCAGTAGAGTTTTCGATTACATTGTCATTATATGTCCAACCATAGAGTGGAATATGACTTACATTAATTGGACTCATATTAGTGACCACGGAGTTATACAAATTCCATGCTCACAAGAAATGATCGATCTAGTTCTCAAGGCAGTGTCCACCATATTCCGCGGTACTCAAGCTCTCATTATAGTGGACGATTGTGCGGCAAGTCAAGATGTAAAGAAAAGAGTCTCAGAACTGGTGCGCCTAGCATTCTCCGCAAGACATTACAACATATCTGTCATTGTACTTACCCAACAATTGTCATCAGTAGCAAAGCCATTCAGGGAAAACATTTCCAGGCTAGTTACATTCTACAACCCTAGTCGCAAGGATATGAAGGTCATAACAGATGATTACCTAAGTGGTGTTCCTCAGGAGACAATTACAGAAATTACGAAAATATTAAAAGATGAGAAGTTCAACGCACTGGACGTACTACTTATTCACCCTTACACATACACTGTTAAACTAAACACCGCGTAGAATATAGATGATGGGAACTGAATCTGATGAAGAAATATTTGAGGCTGTAAGAGAAGTAGAGGAGGCCGCAAAGGTGCCGCAGAAAAAAGCAAGAAAAACTAAGTCCACCGCAGATAAGTCGCAAACTGAACACAAAAGGGACAAACTCATAGAACTATCGAGGGATGGTGTAATAGAGAAGTCCGCAAGTTTTATAAGAAAGTCTAACAAGGATGTTGTAGATAGACTGTACCATGAGTACGAAAGTCAAAGGATGTCATGTGCAAGTGACTTCTTGTCAACACTTATTATTTCAAAGTTTGCTGCGGTACTAGGAAGTTTTGGTGCAGTGGAATCTTCAGAGAAACTGTCAGAGGAACTACTTAGTGACAAGCTTCTGAAGGATGACGTATCATATCTAACCAGAACGATATCCCCCAACATCCCATTCATAGGGCTCATATCTGGTGGCTGTACAACAGCCAAACATGTAGTTGCCCATAAGTGGAATAAGAAGGAGGAACCTGAGGAAGTGTCAGAGGAAGCTAAACATCTGATATTACATACAGAATGTCAAATTCCGGAGAACCAATCGAGTGGGGAGGAACAGAATTCGAAGACATAATTGATGAATTGATTGAAAAAACTGATAAGACTCAGGCAACTCTGGATTCACTAAAGTATGACTTTGAAGCTTTTAAAAATGACACAATAAAAACAGTTGTAAATATATACAAGAACCTAAATGAAATGCAGTAGGCAAAATAATTTGTTGTAATAGGAAGTATGAAATAGTGGGATGCAGCTGGGTGGGCTGAGGGTATGCTGCTCCATAAATTGATAAATAAAATAGCCTAAAAATTTTTTACACATATAGTATAGGAAAGATGGAGCAATTATTCAGGAACCAAAAGTTGAATGTTAGTGTAAGAACCGTTAAGAGTGGTGAGGAGGTACTGTTCTATGCGAAAGATGTGGCAGAATCTCTAGGGTACTCGAACACGAAAAAAGCCATCCAAACTCATGTTTGGAAGCCAAATAAGGCAACGCTCGGGGAACTCAAGTTGGGACCCAACTTGGGTCCCATCCTGGACGGTCACCCAAATTCTGTTTTCCTAAGAGAACCTGGTTTGTACCAACTAATATTCAACTCAAAACTTCCAATAGCTGAGGCCTTTCAGGATTGGGTATTTAGTGTGGTGCTTCCATCTATCCGTAAAACAGGCTCATACAAATTACCAGATAGAAGGTCACTCAGGTATAACCAAATGATCCTCATAAACGAAACGGACCTTCATCATACAGTTGTGAGTTACATTAGGAACAACTACCCTAAGGCTGTAATTGTACCCGGTCTTGGTGGGTATCAGGACACGGTACCAAAGAGATGTGATGCCTGGAAGAAGGGCTATAAAGGTGGTCAGCCAGATCTCATTATAGAGAATCCTATGGGGGAGTACACAGGATTCGCAATTGAATTTAAGTCTCCTAAGGGCACTTAGATTCACTTGAATGATACACTAAACATACCATATATTATAGCAAGATGAGTAAAGAATCAAAGATGACTATGGAAGTGTACAACGCAGTGTTACTTACAGCAGGAGCAGTTGGTATATCAATGGCATCAAAGAAACTATTGAAAGAACCATTAGGTACCCCAGAGAATGTAAAAGGAATGGCAAAGTTAGCTATTTCAGTTAGTCTTTCATCTCTACTGGTCTCTTACTTGAAAGAAAAGAAGTATCTACCAGATGATCCATTCAAAACCTAGGTAAGACTATACAATGGCGGGAGCAGTAGCAGGAGGACTCTTTAATGCATTTGCATTTGCTGGAGCAGGATACTTATTTAAGATGTTTGACAAGAATGGATATGCTGAGGAAGCTCATAGACATAACAAGGCAATGGAGAACCGAACAGCTGAAAGAGAAAAGTACCTCGAAGAGGTCACTGATAGGAGAAATAGGATTGCCCAACTGAAGTCAGAACTATCTGAGGCAAATAGTAATATCAAGTCAACGAACCAGTCACTAGAACTCGTCAGAAGAATCAATGAGTTAACACGTAAGCCTATGCCAAGGAAGCCGCAATTAAGTAATCACTACAAACCTAGCTCTGAGACGGAAGAATATATGGCAATATTTGGTTTAATTACAGGTGGAGCAGTGGGTGGGTTAGCTTATTTAATTCTATAGAAAATGCCATAAAAAATTTTACACCTATAAGTATAGGGAAATGGAATGGTTACAGATGGCAACACCTGAGGAGATAGCACATGTAGGTAAAAGGGTAAATACACTGGAAGAGTTAGAGGCTGCTGTGAGGAAGTACGCAGAGAGTAGAATAAAGAGAAAACACACATATGATCCAATATGTAGTGAATGTGGGAGTAAGTCTATTGTAATGATAGATGGAGCAGATACATGCACACAATGTGGTGCTAGTGATATGAATAACTTCTCATACTACGTTAGTTACAACTACAACAAGGACGACTATCTGAAAAAGAAGTCTTGTCATAATAGAGTCCGCTGGTTTGAGAGACACTTATTCGAACATGTTGCTTCTAGAGATAGGGACATCATAAGGGAGCAGTTTAGAAGCATAGTAAGATGTATACAAAGACTTAGACTGCAAAGGGGGCGCAACATAGTTAGATACAAGTTTTACCTACTGAGGATAGCCAGCATGAATGGTATCTCCCTGAAGAACCCTCCTGAGGACATTAAGACTCAAAGAATTGTGGACATCCTTGAGGATAGGTTGTATGGAAAAGTTTTTGTTGAGCTTGGATGGAAACCTGAGAAATGTGAATATTATAATAAATGGAAAATAAAAAATTTAATATAATAAAAATAAATGTTAAATTAAAATAATAAAAATAAATGTTTAATTAATATTAAATTTTTAATTAATAAAAATAAATGTTTAAAATAATAAAATTAATTTTAATGAAAGAAAGAAATTGGAGTATTTAATTGGTAGTAAATTATTAATTAAATACTCCAATTTATTTTTACACATATAGTATAGAGGAACATCCGAAAAATATGGCGAGTTATTTTGATATGAACGAATTCAGCGTAGAACAGCTTATGGCTCTCAACAGTATCATAGATAGTGATGATGATGATATGGATACGAGGGCGGAGAACATTATGGCTAACAAAAACTACAGGATTGCACCTGATGATAAGGGCAAAAGTCCCTTTGAAGGAGAAAGACAATTCGTAGACGAAGTTGACCGTGATATGGAGGTAAAGAAACCTAGACGCATTCCTTTGAACTATAAGGGAAGAAGAGGAATTATGCCTACATGGAAAGACTCTGACAGGCAAAAGGCAAAGGCCCTACTTGTAGAGGAAGCATACCAAAATCTACTAGCAAGAGGCGTTCAGGGATTACCACCAACAATGGGAGGCAGATGGCGCACAGATGATCCCCAAGTAAACGAGGAAATCAAGAGGATTGAAAATGAAAGGAATCCTAAGATAAAGCGTCCCAGAGGTAGACCACCAAAGGCAAAGTCTGACACCGAAGCAAAGGTTCCCAAGAAGAGAGGTAGACCACCAAAGGCAAAGTCTGACACCGAAGCGAAGATTCCTAAGAAGAGAGGTAGACCACCAAAGGCAAAGTCCGATGCTGAAGTGAAGATTCCCAAAAAGAGAGGTAGACCACCAAAGGCAAATGCTAAGGTTAAAAGGCAAACTGTAGCTGAAAGATTCCTGAGCCAGAGGAAGGTAAAACTCTCAGTGCCTGCTGATAGTGTCATAACCCCAACAGGTCCTGGCAAGTTTACAATTCACGTGGATCTTAATAAGAGACCTGTGAGGAAAGCTCCTGAGGTGCCTAAGGGTGTAGCTCCATGGAGACCGATACCTAAGCCCAGAACCGTACTTCCTAGGGAAAGACCTGTACCAAAACCTAGGACTAAGCTTCCTAAGGAAAGACCTGTACCGAAACCTAGGACTAGGACCCTAGTGTCTCCTCCTAAGGTCCGTAAGCCTGTAAGGGTGTCGAGGGAAGTCAAGGAGCAGCCTATAGTGGTTACACCAGAGGAACACGAAATCGATCCATTCGGAACATACCTTGAAAAGCCATTCCATAGGAAAATCGAAACAGCCGCAAATGGAGCCGCTGTGACTTACTCGATAACTCCTCACTATATGGACCCTCTGGACCAGATGACTGCAAGTAGACAGGTAGTGTGAGGAATACTTGTGAACGAGTTGAAGAGAATGGGTGGGTTGAAGTACACAGAGACTCTGAAGGTGAGAATGTCAAAGGAAATTGGTGATGGGAAAACCAAGAAGGACTCAGTCTACTTCAAATCTAAGACTGGTACTGCAACTAACTTCGAGGATATTGAAAGTACTGCTGCTCAAAATCAACTGACAATATTGTCTAGAATTGAAACCTTCCAAAACTTAGGTTCGAATTGGATTATACTCAATATTGAGAGTCATTACGTAAACATCGCAATGTACAAACCATTAAAGGGTAGTTCATATATGAAACTTCCAGGGGACATTAGTAATCCAAAGTGTGGGCTCATCAATATGAAGAACAATGACGACATGTGTTTCCTGTGGAGTGATGTGAGACATCTGAATCCTAAGGCTAGAAGAGCAACCACTATCACACAGAAAGATAGGGAATTCATAACGAACCTGGACTACAAGGGTATTGACTTCCCTGTGAAGATAAGTGACATCGATAAGATTGAGAGGAAAAATAGTATCAGCATATCTGTGTTTGGTTACAAGGGTAAGAAACAGTTCTATCCTATAAGGAACTCCAAGGCTAAATATGATGAGCATATGGAGCTTCTACTCCTGGGTGATGGTGAAGGTAACAACCATTATGTGCTCATAAAGGATGTAAACAGGATGCTCTTCAGTGTGAGTAAACATACACATAAGAAGCACTTCTGTCTACACTGTCTTCATAGTTGTGTGAGCAAAGAGGTACTGGAGAAGCATAAGGAAACATGTCTGGAGGTAAATGGAACTCAGGTTGTAAAGCTTCCCAAGGAAGGGCCAAAAATCAAGTTCGAAAACCACAGGAACTCAATGCCTGTGCCGTTTGTGATATACGCTGATTTTGAGTCCATACTGGTGCCTGAGGACAGAAAAGTTGAGTCAGGGAACCCTGAGGATAAAAGTAGTACAGACCTTTACCAGACACACAAGGCTTGTAGTTTTGGTTTGAAGACTGTCTGCCACTATGATGATAAGTACTCCGGTGAGTATAAGAGTTATGTTGGAGAGGATGCTGCATTGGTATTCCTGAAGACTGTATTGAAAGAGTCCTTCAGATGTAGAGAGATGGTCAACAATATATTCAAGAAAAAGATGGTAATTACACCCAAACAGGAATTCGAATTCCAGGCTGCAAGAAACTGCTCAATATGTGGTAACGACCTTGGTGAGGATAGGGTAAGAGACCATGACCAAGTAACAGGAATGTACCGTGGGGCTGCTCACAATATATGCAATCTAAAGTACAGAATTACATGGAAAGTGCCTGTGGTCTTCCACAACCTGAGAGGTTATGATAGTCATCTGATTATGCAGGAAATTGGTAAGTTCAAGATGGACGTCAACGTGATTCCAAATAATATGGAAAAATACATCTCATTCTCACTGGGTAAGAATCTGGTCTTCATAGACTCTATACAGTTCATGGCTTCTTCACTGGAAGCATTGGTGAGTAACCTTTCGCCTGAGGACTTCAGAATAGTAGGTAAGAGGTGGAAGGGTGAGGACTTCAATCTAGTGGCACAAAAAGGAGTGTTCCCATATGAGTTCCTAGATGATATTGGCAAACTCAATACACAAGGTCTTCCGAGTAAGGATAAGTTCTACTCATCACTGTATGAGTCAGAGGTGAAGGAAGAAGATTACCAGAAAGCTCAGAAAGTATGGGATCACTTTATGATGAAAACTATGAGAGACTACCATGATCTCTACTTGGAGACTGACGTTCTTCTACTAGCTGATGTATTTGAAAACTTCAGGAGAACATGTCTGGAAAGTTACGAACTTGACCCCGCACATTACATGTCAGCACCTAGTCTGAGTTGGGACGCTTTTCTAAAACAGTCAGGTGAAGAAATAGAACTTGTAAGTGATATGGATATGTTTCAGTTCTTCGAGAAGGGTATGAGAGGTGGTATAAGTTATATTGCTCATAGACACTCAGCAGCTAATAATAAGTACATGGAGACGTACGATGAGTCATCTGAGAACAAGTACTTAATGTACCTCGATGCTAATAATTTATATGGTTGGGCAATGTCACAACCACTACCTAACGGAGAGTTTGAGTGGGTTGAGGAAGTTGATGGTATGAATCTAGAGGATTACCTGGAAGACAACGAAAGAGGGATGGTTTTGGAGGTTGACCTGGAATATCCACAAGAACTTCACGATCTACATAACGGTTATCCTCTAGCACCGGAGAGTAAGGAAATCAGTGCTTCTATGTTGTCAGATTATGCGAAGAGTATTGCTGAGAAATTCGAACTGAAAATTGGAGGAGTAAGAAAACTAGTGACTTCACTTGGTCCCAGGAAAAATTACGTCTTACATGTACGTAATCTGAAACTGTACACAGACCTTGGGATGAAACTCACGAAGGTCCATAGAGCGGTTACATTCAAGCAGTCTCCCTGGCTTAAGGACTATATAGACTTCAATACAAAGAAAAGGTCTGCAGTCCGTAATACATTCGAAAAGAACTTCTTCAAGTTGATGAACAACTCAATCTACGGAAAGACTATGGAGAATCTTAGGAAAAGGGTTGATGTGAAATTAGTGTCCTCCAAAGACGACCTCCTAAAACTGACAGCATCACCTTGCTTCCAGTCACATCGAATCATGAATGAGAATCTCATAGTGGTAAAGAGGATGAAAGAAGTGGTAACGCTGAATAAGCCGTGTTACGTAGGAATGAGCATCTTAGACTTATCCAAGACTTTAATGTATGATTTTCACTACAACACCATCAAGAAGGAGTACGGTAATAATTCAAGGTTACTGTTCACTGATACTGACAGTCTAATATATGAACTGAAGACGGATGATGTTTATGAGGACTTTAAGAGGATCGGTGAGGAGCAGGATTGCTGGGATAATTCAGATTACCCAAAAGATTCTCCATACTACTCAACCCACAACAAGAAGGTTATAGGTAAGTTTAAGGATGAAGCTGAAGGAGTACCTATAATTGAGTTTGTTGGGTTGAGGTCAAAAATGTATTCCTATGTAAAGGAAAACGGTGGAGGTGGAATGACTGCCAAAGGAGTTAAAAAGTATGTCATCAGAAACAAGCTCACTCACGAGAACTTCAAGAATGTAATTAATACGAAAGGTAGGATGAGACATAATATGAATACAATCAGAAGCGTAAAGCATACAATTGGAACTTATGAAATAAGGAAGGTTACTCTCAGTTGCTTCGATGATAAAAGGTATCTTTTGGAGGATGGAGTTACCAGTTATGCTTATGGTAACAAGAATATAAAAAATAGTGACTGAGAAGTTCCCACAGAGTAGAAAGTAATAATCCTAAAGGGTAAATAAGCAGGTAGGGCCCCCTGCCTTGTGTACCCCCAAGGAATAGGAAGGTTGGACGATATTGGAAAAGTGTAGGATAAACGTATTAGAGTCTCAGCTGGACTGGTAAGGTGATCCCGAAGCTTTGAGGTAAGTTAAATGAAAAACAAGAATAGCAGTTTCACATTTCAATTAAATAGACCAACCATTAATTTTAATATAATAAAAATAAATGATTTTTTACTAAAGATAAAAAACTAGTGGTCTAGAAAAAAAAGTTGGTGGTCTAGAAAAAAAACTAGTGGTCTAGACACGCCAGTTCCTATACTACTCACATTAATAGATCTTCCTGGGTATACTCGGTTGATACTGGTTTGAACTTCTCTTGGCATATATGAAGTTTACCGTCTTTCATCCCATAGCCATTTCTTGTGAAATATTGACTCATAGCTACGAAATAGAGCGTGAACTGCTTATTTACAGTGTAATACTCTCGGGGCAACGAAAAGCTACGATTGGGTTTATTGCAACTTTTCAAATGCATTGTCGCCTTTACCCAGTCATTATGTAGTTCCCAAATATTCCGTACGTAGTTATATCAGTGGAGTTACAAATCTTTATGGCATCATTCAGAACTCGATACTCAGTATAATCGTGCACCTTGTCCTTATAGAGTATTGAAAAGTGAGTCCGAACTTTGTATTCATGATCGTATTTATATTGGTTATTGAATCGTTGCACATTAACAGATCTTCCTTGGTATACACTGTTGATGTTGGTCGCAACTTTTCTTCGCATAAAGTAAGTCTTCCGTCTTGCACCCCATAGTCATTTCTTATGAAATATTGAGTGCTAGGTGCGAGATAAACAGTGAACTGCTTAGTCACACTGTAGTACCTTGCATATATTTTTTTAACAGATCCGTGGCATTTATACCGATTAATTTTTTCCCATGAATTTCGAGTTCTCCAAATGGTCCGAGTTCTTGAATCATTGGAATCACATATTTCAAGAGCTTCGCTTCCGAATTGATATTCGCGATAATCGTACGTATTGTTGTTATAAAACAGCGAAAAGTTTTGCAAAACGTTGTACTGATCGCCGTATTTCACTTTAACCAAATAATCATTGCAGAACAGACTAAGCTTTGCCGAACAAATTGCAAAATATCCAAAAGTCACTCCGTAATCTTGCCTTGTGAAACTCTGCTCAGTAGGTTTGAAGAAAACAGTAAAATTTCTGTATAATGTGTACTTGGAGTAGTAAAACGCGTCCACGGATACATTACAATATTTGAAAGCCAACACTTCCTTTTCCCGAGCAATCAAATCCCGCCATCTTTGTTTAATAAGGGTGTCAGAAGAATTACAAACTTGTAGACCATCGTCCGTTACTCTGTACTCGTTATAACGGTACATTCTGCTTCGGTGCATCATTGAAAAGTTATTCCATACTCTGTAATTATCTTCATACTTTATAGTAAAGGTAAAATTGGCGCATTCGGTCGGACTTTCCAAGATCGCATCAATTTCACGTCTATTCCGGAGATGTCGAGTTGTGTTTGAAGCGAACGTTTCTCTTTTGGCTGTTTCTCTGAAGTAATTCTGGTGAAATATTTGATTTTCCATTGAAGATATATTTTTGTTGCCATCTTTTTGCCATTCTGTCTTACTTGAGTGGGAGATGGTAGTCGATTCTTCGCGTGGAACGTTTACCTCAGACGGCGATGGAGTTGAAAAAGGCAGTACTGGGCTCTTTTGTATTCTTTTACTTTGGGGGGGTTTTATCGCAGTTCCTAAAAGTAAATTAGGGTTAATAATTACTTCATAAGTGCTAACATTCTCACATTTTCAAATTTTACCTTTTCTAACCATCTTTGAAAGATCAGTTTTCTTCCGCGCCTTGCGGCCATCAATTTGTTTATCATTTTCTGCCAAGTTAGAGACGCGTTCGTCTTGTTCGAGAGAAACGTCAACATTGAAGGGTTTACCTTCGAATTCATCTTTTAATTTGTTTGGTTCTGTTTTATCATCTCGCATGTCATACTCTGAACCACCACCATGATAAAAACAGGCGAAAATCAGACAGAAGGAAAAGAAAACGACTCGATACAAGAGTCGAGAATTAAAGCCACGACCCATGTTGCAACTGGAAACGTCGTTAAGCAACTGAGTGCTGTTTCGGCAAAACACAAAGTTTAAAACGCTTATGATCAGACGATTTGTGATAATGTTACCGGCTGTCGGCTGAATCCAGCTGTACTTCGTTGTCAGAGCAACGCCTTCCATCTCTGAAATCGTAGGTTCAATCCTCGAAACATTCATGTGAAAAGAATCAGTCAACGCTCTGCCGAATGTTGTTGGTTTTCTTCGAGTACTCCAGTTTCCTCCCGCGAGAAATGTTGAGAGTAACAAGGACAAATAATGTTAGCCAATCAGCGCGTTTGTTTACATTCTGCGTCCTTGACCAATCAGAATGCCTGAAATTCGAAACATGTAAACAAAAGGAGTGAGAAAATAACACCTTGTTCTACGCCCTCGTTGACATTAGATATTAAACTTTTTTCGCCAAAGCTGCCAAATTCTGATAAAGCATGCTTTCTTCTTTAATTTCCTCGGGGGGATTTTTTAAATTCGATCTAGAACGCGAAATATTTATGTTTGAATAACAGTGTTTCGACGCGCGTAAAATAGCAGACTCTCACTTGCACTATCTTTACACACACATAAAAATGCGTCACAACGATCCAGGACTGACAGGTACAATATCGCATGACTCATTACTGTACATTAAAAGTACATATCCGGTTGGCAAAATGGCGATTGTCTGACAGACCTTCGCGAAGGGCTTAATATTTTTTTGCTAATAAACTGTTCACGAGGGTTTCGTTCTGTTCGTCTTCTGGTTCGTCGTCAATCGTCATCGGCTGCCTCACTTTCTTGGTCGCTTTCGTCCTCTTCAAAGCAAGTAGCCGGGGCAATCAGCGTTAATATTTGCTGTCTTTCGAAGACCTTCCAAGAGCTTCAACATTTGCCAACGTTGTTGCTTCACAAACTGGGCAATCGCTGATGTTGGGCAGGATGCATTCGATGTGGAACGTAGGTCCACAACCACGGAAAACGTTCCAAGTGGATTAACTTTTTCGCAGGCAGGCAAATCGCAGGTAAGATTTTATTATATTTTATATTTACAGATCTTGATACATTACTTATAGTCAGCGTCCTTGGAGATTGTTCCAAAATATGAGTGTGTGCCAAAGTTAAAATATTACTCATAATCTCCCGAACATGTTTGGACAATGTTTTGAATCACTGCAGTTTAGAATTAGCAGTCGTTTTAAAGACAACAGAACTGGCAGCCATGGCACCCCATAACATAACTATTAGTGTACAATACCAGACAATGTAAATTACCACCTCCCCCAACCCAGAAGTAGGCAGTGTTTATTTCCCAGCACTGCATAATCAAAATTGCTGGATTGTATAAATGTCTGGCTTTGTCTCCGTGGTCCTGCTTTGCTCCATGAACCCCACACTTCCTAGATTCAAGCAAGCGGGGACTTATATTGACTGGTACTTAGGTCCTGGCCCGCTAAGTGAGACAGCCCGGTAAGCGCGATCTCGCTGTGTAGTTATTTTTATAGTAAAAATTATTGTGCGTTTATATGGACAAGTGGGCTGGCCAGTTTGCCGAGATCTCACTTGAAAAAAGGTGAGATCTCACTTGAAAAGAGCTGAGATCTCGCTTACCGGGGTGGAAATTTCTCCATATAAACACTCACAAACCGGCTAGCCCAGTTTCTGGCATGAAAGATACCACCGCAAGCTATTTTTAACAACTGTCAAAACCAGCAAGCGGGATGAAATTTTCTCATATAAACACAAGAGAAATTCATCCCACCTGCCTGTCTCGCTAAGCAGGCCAACCCGGCTTCCTGCATATAAACAGGCCCTTAGTCGAATTGCAGCACTTGGTCTGCCTGTGTGTTACTTTTAAGTGTACCCTGGTTCTTTGCAAGGTAAAAGAAACAAGAGGTGAGAATGGAAAGCCTCTGATCATATCAATTGCAACTCCCACTTCCACACTTGAATAGGTTCAGAATTTGAATATCGCATGTGATTGGCCATTTGTAAAAATATGTTAAACCTGTTTGGGAAATAAACACTACTGTAAGCTAATTATAGCTATATATCTATTTAGCATGCCAAATAGGGCCGGGTCACCACAACAGCATATGCCAATTACTGTGAGCCCTTTTTACCCAACCCACCCTGTCAACTTTCCATGTGGGAGGAAACTGGAGTACCCGGGGAAAACCTGTGACGTTTGGCAGAGCGTTGCGGTTTATTCTTTTCACATGAGGACTGGGTTTGAGTCGCATTGAGAAAGTTCCCACTGACTTGAACCTGCGGCCTCAGAGGTGACAGGCAAGTGCGCTAACCACTTGGCCACCGAAGCCCCAATTAAAAAGCCCCAAGCTATTATAGTAAACTCAACCAAGCATGATTATTAATACTCCCGCAGGTGAAAAGGTATTAAATTTCTCAGGAGATAAACATATCAACATTAATCAGTTTTGCAGGACATGTAATACATTCTTGGTTGAGTTTAATAGAATATTTTAATACAGGCTATAATTAGCTTACAGCAATGTTTATTTCTCAAGCCAGTTTGGCATATTTTTACAAATAGGCAATCACATGCGAAATTCAAATGCTGAACCTAATCAAGTGTGGAAGTGGGATTCGCAATGGACAGTGACCCTGGGCTGTACACAGCACAGGGGAGGGGGCGGCAGGAGGGGGAAACTGCCCTCCTAAAGAAAACTATATTTACAATTTTCAGAATGTCATTATTAATTATTCTTTGGATATTTGGAACTTTTTTCAACATATAAGCCTTACTGCCCCCTGGTGATACGGCCCTGATGTGACCAGAGGCTCTCCGTTCTCGCATCTTGTTTCTTTCGCCTCGCAAAGAGCCTCTGGAACCAGAGTACACTTAAAGTAACACACACACAGAGCAAATAATATAATGCTTTTAAGGCAGTGAATTGGTAGGGAAATCTTTCAATAATATCCTGTGAATATGGTAAACTATGTACCAATACCAGACAATATAAATCCCTGCCTGCTCAAATTCCAAAGTGTGGGGCAAAGCAGGGTCACCGAGACAAAACCAGATATTTACACACAGATATTTACAGACAGTGACAGTGCTGAGAAGTAAAAACTGCCTACTTCTGGGTTGGGGGAGGTAGTAATTAATTACATTGACTAGTATTGTACACTCAATAGTTATGGGGTGCCATGGCTGCCTGTTCTGTTGTCTTTAAAAGAGTTAAAGGACTGCTAATTCTAAACTGCAGTGATTCAAAACATTCAAACATGTTCTTTAACTTTGGTACACACTCATATTCTGGAACAATTTCCAAGGGCGTACTGACTATAAATGTATCAAGATCTGTAAATATAAAATATAAATTTTCCTTTAAAATTTCCATCGATTTGCGATTTGCCTGCCTGCAAAAAGGTTAATCCACTTGGAACGTTTTCCGTGGTTGTGGACCTTCGTTCCACATCAAATGCATCCTGCCCAACATCAGCGATAGCCCAGTTTGTAAAGCAACGTTGAAGCTCTTGGAAAAACAGCAAATACTAACGCTGTTTGCTCCGGCGACTTGCTTTGAAGAGGACGAAAGCGACCAAGAAGTGAGGCAGCCGATGACGATTGACGACGAACCAGACGACGAACAGAACGAAACCCTCGTGAACAGTTTATTAGCAAAAATATTAAGCCCTTCGCGAAGGTCTGTCAGCTATTAACTGTGGTCAGACAATCGCCATTTCGCCAACCGGGTACTTTTAATGTACAGTAATGAGTCATGCGATATTGTACCTGTCAGTCCTGGATCGTTGTGACGCATTTCCGATGCGAAATGAGATCGATGAGATCAGATAGGTAATATTTAAAAACATGTCAGCTGTGGTGTGGGGAAAATAAGTTGAAACTGCCAAATCTACAAATTTTTTATGTGTGTGTAAAGATGGTGCAAGTGAGA